CCATGATGGCTGAGCCTCTGCCATGCTAAAGTTCGTGACCTTCTCGGCGAAGAGCTGTCGCTCGGGGGTCCCGAGCTAGGGCATACTTTGATTCGCACAGGCTATCGAGTAAGAAAGTGCCCTCGTTCAGAGAGGTTACCATCTCTAACAGCTGCTCAACAAGTTGTTGACAACAACTGGCAGGCAAAAGCTAATTGTAGTAGGATTTGACGTGTGGACTCAAGAGGAATGGCCAGAGCCGACTGGGCTCAGCCGTCGACTGACAGCCGAGAAGTCAATCGAGTTCTGACCCCGTTGAGGTACTGTCGTAGCCTAGAGATCTCCAATAGGGGAGACATCTACGATGGGGCTCTCCCTCTGGCACCAATACTCCTCATCACCAGGAAGTATGTAGCCATCGAAGGTACCAGAGCCAAACTGGCCAGCCAGCATGCTCAGCCAGCGGTGTTGTGAATAGCGATGGGATGTTCATATGTGACCTTATAATGCGATACCCTCCAAATGAAACCCTATAAAGGAACACAGAGAAGGCATTCGGATAGGCAATCGCCTCGAAAGCTGAATGGGATTTAATCTTCGCATAAGGTTGTGTTACATCATGTAACACAACATCATGGCCGCTGAGCCAAGGCAACATGAAACTTACATGTTGCCTTGGCCTAGCGGCCATGATGTTGGATGAGCGGTCGCAGGTGGAACCAGCGGTCGCGCATTGACGGCCTGAATGAGGTTTCGGTATAGACATGACCCTGACCATTCGAGGGCGCAGGCGCACCCTCGTCGATATGATGAGCGTGAGACCTGGGTTGTTGATTGCCGTGAAGAGAAAACCATAGCATCGACCTGGAGCAATGAATAAAACTGAATGCGAAGTTAGCCACCGATGAACGAGCAGAGTGTATCCCATAGCTCACTGAAAGTTCATTTTCCCTGCTGGCACTCCGAAGGCAAGGAAGTGATCAACGATCAATTGGACTAAAACATCCGAAGGTCCCAGGTGAACCGAGACAGTAAACCTTCAGTGCAGTTTCTGTCGGCTTGCGTTTGCCATGAACTACTGCTACAGCGCGTTTAGTGACATGGTCGAAGAGGTTTAGGAATGAAACCAATCGCCTGCCACAGCACATCTCAACTGTTCATACCCGCTTTAACCTCAATCGATGCCGTCGGATTCATCGCATCCAACCACCTCCCCCATCATCATTCACACAGTGCTGCACCAGTAGCCCTACGATTGACTCCCTCACATAGCACAAAACGGTCACAAACGTCATCATCACATTCCCTGTGATGATATACACGTTACGTTGGTAGGTGGATAGCTGTAATAATCACATAGTAGAACGTTCATCAGATAAGAGAGAATATAGAGTAGCAGTGAATCCTCAACAACGGCCGTCGAGGAATGACTATATCTTCCTACAGTGGCTTCTACCACCCCATTAGATTGCGGACCATATCGCGTTCGGCCTTCAACTCTTGTACATTACGCTGCAGCATCGAATACCCAAACCTACAGCAGCTGTGCCGAGAGAATCCCAATACGGTGTGATAGTACTCAGTCATTTCCAGGCCTCCAACCTTGGTCCAGCTGTGGCCATCAGTGATGACAGGGAACGAGAAACAGAGATCCGTATCAATACCATACCTACAGCAGATTGTTATATCAAAGAAACCAACTGCAGGGTGCTCCGGAATGAATACAGAAGTTTGCAGTTATTGCAAGCTGTGTCGATCAGACGAGAACAATAAGGGTTTTCAATGATGGCGAGTCAAAAAAAACCATCAGCGTATTTTCTAGTGTTTAATCGGAGACATGTGGAACAATATTTTGGGGAAAAGCCGTACATAATGTACTGTATGTGTCTGAAATCTGAAGTGATCAATGTACGGTACATTGATCACTTCAGATTTCATAAACGACGCTAATCGAGAGGTTACCAACATGAACCGCTACAAATGTAGCCTACATCTGTCCGAACTTCAGGAGAATAACAGCGTGAAGGAGATAGACGGTGTTATGACCACAGAGATTGGAGACTTACGAGTCTATGCCATAACTCTCCTTGTTCTTGCCAATGACGGCCATAGACACCCACTTGTTGTCCGACCCCAATGCCCAATCTCGCATCTGGTCAATACACGACATCGCCGCTGACGGAGCCGACGATTTCCCTGAGACCAGCACATAACGAACGGTACATCTAATACGGACAACTCACCCGCAGCCTCGATGATCTCCTTCCCTCTCTGCTGGACGCGAATCATAAACTCATTTGTGACCCAGTCGGGATGAGGCACCAAATCCTTAATCTGACATAATACGTTATTCGCTTCGAAAGGTCATCTTTATACGAGGTCAGGCGCGATCCTTTCAATACAACAATTGTCTCTTGTCTATAGTCTCCATTCTCGTTCAGCTCACACCGCGTCCATAATACTGATCCCACTACCATCACTCCAGGGAATTGCAGATTTTCCAACGTCCATCCGAAAACAAACTAATTGCTAAAACTAAGTATAATCTCATATTTCGAGCTCATTCTGATGATAAGAGTGACAAGACGATCGCAGAACCCACCCTCCTTCCTCCGACAGTGGCGTGGTTGACGTCAGGGTACATGTTGGGAGAATGATTACCCCAAATGACAAAGTTATCAATATGAGTTGGATGGATATTCAGTCCATCGTGATGAGCGTTTATGCACTGAGCCAGTTGCAGAAGGCCTCTGTTGTGATCCAGACGAGTCATAGCTGTGAAATTCTCGGCCGGGACGTGCCTAA